GTGCCCACATCCCCCCACATCTTAGTGTCATCAGCAAATTTGAACAGGGTGCTTTTTACCCCCTCGTCCAAGTCGCTGATGAAGATGTTGAACAGTGCGGGCCCGGGGACTGAGCCCTGCAGAGCCCCGCTGCCCACATCTCTCCAGGCTGAAAATGACCCATCCACCACCACTCTCTGGGTGCGGCCCTCCAGCCAGTTGGCGACCCATTTGACTGTGTAGGTGTCAACACCACAGTCCCCCAGTTTTTTTTTTAATGAGAATGGGGTGAGAGACAGTGTTGAAGACCTTCCAAAAATCCAGAAAGACTATGTCCACTGCTACCCCTACATCTAGGGATTTGGTGACCTGGTCATAGAAGGCCACCAGGTTGGTCTGACAGGACCTGCCTCTAATGAACCCGTGTTGGTTGCCCCTAAGCATAACCTCTCCTGCTGGGCCCTCATGGACATGTGTCAGCATAATTCTCTCAAAAGCTTACCCAGGATCGAGCTAAGACTAACTGACCTATAATTTCCCGGTTCCTCTTTCCTCCCTTTTTTGAAGATAGGAACCACGCTGGCCCTCTTCCAGTCTTCTGACACCACACCAGAGCACCACGAGCGCTCATAAAGCTGTGCCAGGGTTCCTGCAATGACCTCAGCTAATTCCCTCAGCACTCTGGGGTGGAGATTGTCCGGACCGGCTGATTTAAATACATCCAGTCCCTCCAGACGTTCCCTGACTAGAACCTCACTGACCCTTGGCCTAGGTGTGCCTCCCCTGGAGCCTAAGGGGGGCCTGGTGCGGGGGGCTGATCCAGTCCCTGCTCAGGAAAATGGAGGCAAAGAAGTCATTTGATTGCTTTAAATCAAGATTGGATCTCTTTGACAGATCTGCTCCAGTTCAACCACAAGGTTCAGTAAACTTGGGTTAATTTACCACTCCAGGTGGAATGCAAAGAATGGCAAATCATCCAACAGTTACCAATTATGAGGAGTTTGTAATTGGGAAGGGGCCACTAACAGGGAATAAGAACAGGGGCAAATTATTGCATAAGCGAATTAACCGGTATTAACTCTGTGCTTGACTCAGAAATTTCTGAGTAATGCACAGAAGTTCAAACCAGATGATGCCAAAATTCTATGAAAACCTCAATCAGTTGAGATTGAAGGCTGTTAAGCTAGCAGCAAGAGTATGTAATTGTGTGTGGGCCAACGAAGCGAGAAGACAATAAGGAAACAGCAGGTTACATATGAAACAGTAGCCTTTTTACAGTTATATATGAACAATATAACCAAATTGTTTATTTGGCAGGTTCTTTCTAAAATGCAAAGGTAATGTGACTGGCTGGAGCAGTGTCAAGAAGTTCCTGCTTGTGACGCTTATGATCCTAAAAGGAACCAGCCACTAACTGTGGAATAGTACAGATCTGATGCCCCTCCTTGCACTTTCAGAATCTCTGCACTAGTGGGCAGGTGGAGGACAGTCAAAACAGGAATAAGGACTAACTTATGTTCCCGCCTGATGCTAGAATGCTTAACTGAGCAGCTACAGCCAGAATGCAGCACTTTTCTAAGGCTCAAGCAGCACAAAGTGGCTGCAATAGCAGTGGCAGATAAGGTTATATGCAATTGCAATTAGTTCTGCTGTAAAGCAATGGGATTGATGCTTTTCTTCCTTCTAGGTTAAGAATGGGAGGCTTAAGGGCTGTAAAGGACACAAATTATTTAATGGACAAGCCAAGATGACAGGCAAACATGGTCCTCTGGGTCCCAGCCCAGTGCAACCTCCCATAAGCCAAAAGAAATTTTGATGGGGGAAAGCAGCAGCAGAAACAGGAAAAAGAATTCATTTTGGCTATACCATCTGTCTGGAGATTCAATGGGACTAGAATCCACTCTGCAGAGGGGAATGATCACACATTTTAGAAGCATACAGGTATGTGGGGGTATCAAGCATACAGGTATGTGGGGGTATCTGCTATGCATATGCAAATGGATAATCTAACTTATCTTCATGAATTTTCATGGGGACAGCAGAAGGAATTTGGCTAGCACTAGTACACCAATTTCAAAACCTTGCCCTAAACCTTCAGTGTGAATGAAGAACAAAATCAATATTCTGACATTAAAAAGGACAATACAGACCAGTAAAATTCTCATTTTCAAGTTTACAATAGTAACTTTAAAAATTACAAGATAGACCTTACTTTCTCTAAAGACAAAAGACATATAAAACAAACAAACAAAAACTTTCCCCACTGGAGTAGGAAATTTTTGAGAGCGGGACAAATATTTCAACAACAGTAAGTTATATTCTTGTATTTTCACCCCAGTAAACTTGCATAGAGCTTTCAGTGTGCAGTAAAGCATGTATGACATTTTTATTTCCGCCTTGCTGGGAAGTACATACCTTGCATCTAGGATCCTACCTAGTTTGCAGGGGCTGCTCCTCCAATTTCATGGGCAGAACATGGACCTGGAACAGCCATTTCACAGGTGGAGCACAGCAGGTCCCCCCACGCCTCTGATTGGCCAAGGGGCCCCAGTGGCCCCAACCCTTGCCACTGTCTGCAGGGGCTGCCTGTTATGTGGCCCTGTGCCCCACGCTGATCGACTACAAGGACTGTCCATCAAACACCAACCAGTGGAGGGGCGGGGCTACAACAAGAAGCCCTCGCAACGAATCAATGGCAAGAGTAGCAGCCATCTTGTCTGCCCCCCTCCCCACCCTGCCAGGCTGCCACAGTGCCCAAGACTGCTGTCTCCCTCTGAGGAGCCAGCATTTTCTTTTCTGTAAGGTTTTTTTTCCCCCACAGATTTTGCAGGCATCACCCAGATTTCACAGGCAATACCGGATTTCACAGAATCTGCGAAATCCATGAGATCATGAATTTGGAAGGTCCCTACTTATACCAGACTAAACACAAACACACACAAAAATTGCTTACCTAGTAGAGTTTGCTTTTCTTGTGAAGAGTCAGGCTCTGCTGAACATCTGCAAGATCGAAGAACTATCACTCCTCCAAGTACACCGTCTTCATTGGCTAGAAAAGGTGAACCTAGGTAGATGGGGATGGGAGATTATTTGCCAAATGATTTTTTTAAATTCAGTCTTTTCCCTCTACTCTCCACTTTTATCCTTACATAAAGCGGGGAGTATACAAAACTTGCCCCTGACAACTGAAAAGACTTCCATGTCATGAAATTGTTTTTGAAATAATTAGAAATGTCTATTTCACTTCTCCAGCAAAAACTGCAATTGTTCCTGATGAATAAACCTTGTATGGTTTGATGGTTCAGGAAGACTTAAGACCCCCGTTGTTGACTTGGCAAAGATAATATTGAGAACTGCCAAGACAGTTTAGCATGAAAGCCTGAATATATATTATTTTATTCAGAAAGTAATGGGAAACACTAGATTAAAGACGACTATATATATATAAACCAGGCACATGAACAGCTTTGATCATCTCATCAAGGTCACCTTATTAACTGTCTGCTTAGCTGTGTGGTGCACAAAGCTCCAATGTAATACCACAGCATAGATCAAACAATAAGCAATAAACTTAGTAACTAATTTCTGCGAGTGACATATTAGAACAAGATGATCTTCAGCCTCTGCAGTTCCTTCGGGTTTCAGAGAGTTGCACTGTGTTCACTTTGGTACCAGAGGTCTTACAGCCTAATTTGAATTTTCCCATCAACTACCAAAGATGCAAAATTCAGCCCCAAGTTTGTGCTAAAGAATCTTACAGCCTGAAGTGGTACACACCTACTTAATGTGACTGGAACTCTTCTTGACTGAATAACAGGGCTCAATTCAGATAAAACAGTACTTTATAGTAGATATTTTATACTACTTTATAGCTAAATAATATTCTCCATGTTACAAATAAGGTACTAAAAGCAGAAGAAAAACAGAACAAAATGCATGTCTTACAAAAATTCAGTAGGATTGCCAGGATGATGCAGCAGAAATGGAACTGATAATAAATTTAAGGATAAAAAATAAATAAATGGGCAGCACATGTGCATGGTGTGTGCATACCTCCACATCAACACCCACACATGTTCCTCAAGGAAAACTATTTAATATAGCCCAATCAGCATATACTTCACGACTCCAGCAAGGATGTTTGCAATGTCGTTATCATGAAACATCAACAGAGAGAGCTGAGGTTTGTGTGATCAAGTTACATTTATTCTAAGAAGGTAGAAGAGTTTCTGTGTAAAAGATGCTATCGTTCTTAGGTGTTAGTTTAGTCTTATTTGTATCTTTGTTCTGCTTGGTTGTTTTCAATACTAATAAAGAGTATGAACAAGCATTCACTTCTAGCACTGGGAATTTATGGGAAATTTCCAGGACTAGAAAACCTTTATGTAAGAGGCCTGCAGCTATCCCCTCCCTTGCTCTCATCCCCTTCTCCCTACGCCTTCCACAGACTGGAGTGAACCCAGTCTCGGGAAGCAGGGTTGCCAACCCAAGAAGTTGTTTTTTTGTTTTGTTTTGTTTTTTGTTTTGTTTTTTTTTGGGGGGGGGGGG